CTGCAGTGTTGATGAGGAACACTGAATATACCATGGACTGCTAAAAGAGCAAACATTTGTCTTGGGAGATATACAGCAGAATATGCTCCTTAGAAATCAGAAGGCAAATCTTTGATTCACATCCTTTAGATAAGTTATCAGGAGCAACCAGTTCCTGGAGAAAGACAGCATGCACAGAGGAGAAGAAGAAGGTCAGCAAGGTAAGAGGAAGAGTCTCAAGGAGATGGACCCACACAATGTCTGCAACAATGGGCTGATGACTCAAGACAACACAGGGTCACTGAGTCAGACTGACTCAACAGCACCTGGGAACAACACGTGGCCAACCGAGTGACACGTGTAGGATGTGTGTGTAGGATGTGTATGAACTTCATATGCAGGTTGCCCAAGTGGAAAAATACAGTTGTTAAACATGATCTTTAAAACAGAAAGATCTTTTAGAGAATCAAGAGTTTACTTTCCTCCCAAACCCCAGCTGACCTCTGCCACAATAGGAAGGTGGGTGGGGCTTTTCAATGAGAATAGGGCTGGGGAATGGAAGGGGGTTTAACATACAGAGCACTTTGAGGAAAAGTGAGGGAGCTACAGACAGACAAGGACCAACAATAAGATTAAAAGAGACTGACACTGAAAAGGAAGGAGAACAATTATGATATTCTTCAAGTGTTTTAAGGTTTTGCCTGAGCCCATCCCTGAACTTTTCAAGTGGAAAACTAAATCCTTCTCCACACTCTCCTATGATGTGGATCAACGGCTCATTTTGCTGAAGGTTCATCACTGAGCTATAATATTAAGATGTTAGTTCATCTACAATATGGATTTAACTACTATTTACATCATCCTTTCTCTGGAAAAAAAAGGATTGAAAATACACTGTCATCCAGCACCTAAAACACTTCCGAAGGGAACCGAAACTCACCATGCGTTGTTATGTGCTGTCAAGTTACCTGCAACTCACAATAACCCCATGCACCGCAGCTCTGAAGCCTGCCCTGTCTTGAGCCAGTCTCACCGACTCTGAAACACCTACCCATATCACCCCAGTTACTATGTGAATCCATCTCATCCAGGTTCTTCCTCTCATGTGCTGTCCTTCCACCCTTCCTAGCACAATGTCCTTCTCCAAGGACTGGTCCCTTCTGGCAACATGTGTGAAGTATGTGAGATGGAACTTCAAGATCCTGGCCTCCAAGGAGCAAACCGGTTTCACCTTCTCCAGGACAGATCTGTTTGTTCTCTTGGTGGTCCATGGTATGTTCAATAGTCTTCTCTATGCAACTCAAAGGCATTGATTCTTCTCCTGGCCATACCTAATACTTTCTAGGTGATTTCTCATGATGATCCTATAGGCTGGAACAGAACTTCCCCATAGGGTTCCTAACCTTTTTTTAAAACAGTTTTTTATTATTAATTTTAATGAAAGTTTACAGACACTGAGGATTCCCATTCATTCATTGTTGCACTTTTCTCCCTGCCCACACCCCCTCCCCCAATTCGTTCTACTCTTTGAAAAGTAAAAGGAAAATTCTTTCATAGTTATAAAATCCCTGCCCCCCCCAGTCCACTCCACTATGCAACCTTCATTCTCGACTCCTGTCATGACAATAATACCTAATCACATATCCCTTTTAAACAGTTTTCTCCCTCATCTGTTTCAAAGCAATATACATTATTTATCCCATCTTTCTCAGTTACCCCCAACCCTGATGTCAGTCCTGTTTTACAACAGTGGCAGTATGCAGTACTTGTCCTTTAGTGACTGAGATATTTCACTTAGCATAATAACCTTTATGGAAGCAAACTGCCCTATCTTTATTCCTCAGAGTAGCTGATGGGCTCTGAGGTAGAGTCATCAACTATTTGTTTCTTGAAGGATCACTTAACCACTGTGCCCCTGGGGTTCCCTAGAAGGTAATAAGCAATCATACATTCAAGTCCCCACAATTGTAACTCTATTTTATTCACGCCATCTAGATTAATAAAATATAGAATATCAGAAGAGACAGGAAGAGAAAAGTATCAAGGAGAGCATATGTAATTCTAATGTTAAAAACAAAACCTCAACAATGCAAACACAATTAAACTATGAAAGGAGAGAAGACAGGTCATGTAATTATTCTTCCTTTTGGTTTTGTTACTTGTCGTCGAATCAGAACAGACTCTGAGCTGACCCTTCAGCAGGTTTTCTTCATACAGAAGGAAACAGCTCATCTTTGTCTGCCATGGAGCTGTTGCTGGGTTCAAACTGACTGAATTTGGATTGGCAGCACATCTTTTTACCACCAGCCCCCCCTTCCCTCTGTCTTAGAGACAGAAAAGGCTAATGGAGCCACTAATACCATTTATTGTCTGGGTCTTTCCTCTGAATGTCCTTCCTTTGGAACAAACTGGAAAGCTGCCATCCTCACCACAGACCTCTCAATAGTGAATGGAAACAGTTGGCAGGTTTCTCCTTACTTATATGAGACCTTATACATAGGTTCAACATGAATCCACTACAAGGTCCACAAGAGAAAGACAGACAATCCCATCCAGTTGTAGTTTATGGCTTTAGAAACCCAACAGAGGGTCACTATGTGTCAAACTGACTCAATGGCAATGAATTTGGGTGCTAAATCATACTGCTGGATTGTACTTCTTTCTAGTAAGGTTCTCAAAGGTTGAAATAATAATTAACCACTTTGCCCTTTACCCAGATGATCTCAAAGCTGTGGCTACTGCTTCCATCACTTTTGAACCACTTGGGAAGGTTCTAGAAGAAAGGAGATGCACTCAGCCTCCTTTACCTTTAAATTTCCACCAACAAGGGTAAAGGGCACATACCATCTTCCCTATTACGTCATCTGTGACCAAGGCTGCTGCAATCTTAGCTTATATGCTTCTTGTTAACATAAAACCCAGGGGAAAGTTTTTTTCAAAGGGGAGGGGTGGTTTATCTTTTCAGAAGAATGCTTAGAACTCATGACACAGACAGAACCATCCAGAAGCGGGGGAAAAGGCTATCCTAGACTACAAAACTCTTTTCAAAAGAAGACAGAACAATTTTATGCTGGAGACCTGGAGCTTAGGCATCTGCAAACAGAAAGAACTGCAAGGCAGAGGGAAAGGGGGTTCCAAGACTGGTGCCCTGAGCAAAGCAACAAGCTCCAGCTGTACACAATACATCTTCAGGGGCAGGAAAGTCTTGCAAGCTAGAACTGGTGTCTTTATTTTCCAACATTAAGTCACCACAGATGTCCCTTTAATCTGCTCTAAAAGGTAATCTGAACTGAGGAGCTCTGTTACCTGATTCTTACAGATAAAAATCAAGAGTGCCTTGCCGTGATATAAAAGACCAGGGCTGTGGGACCCTAGCAACAAGGAGGTCCCCTGACTACTCAGGTTGTACTGGCACCGTTTGTACCAGCCACTCTCTAAACCAAAAAGCACACCTGGTGCCATGGATGTAATCTGAACTCATGGCAGCCCCATGTGAGCTGCTCCACACAGCCTCCTCGAATGGAATCTTTACTGAAGGAAATCATCATACTTTTCTTCCTAGAGCTACTCGGTGGATTCAAACCACCAACCTCAGGGTTAGTAGGTGAGCACAAACTGTGCCACCCAAGGACCTAACCACTCTCAAGACTTGCCATATTTCCTTCAAAGCACAGAACACTGACTGTGTTCCACTAGAATGCAAGCATTGTGGAACAGGGGCTTTGCCTGATGTCGCTTCTCTATTCCCAGAGCCTAGAATCAATGATAAGCACACATGACCTCGTGTTGAAGAAAGAGAATAAGAGAGTAAGGTGCTGAATAAGGGACAGTGCCTTTATACCAGCTTTAAGCATGCTTCCAATTACAGATCACCCCCTGGGTTACAGAAAACACCTGCTCACCCTTTGATGCTGCAGAAATTTGCCCTTACTTTGAAACCACTGCACTAACTCTGGCATTATTATTAGTGCCTGAGTCTGTTTAGACTCACAGTGACCTTGTGCACAACAGAACGAGACGGTAGCCGCCCCGCACCACCCTGACAATCACTGCTATGTTTTGAGCCCATTATTGCAGCCATTGTGTTAATTCATCCACGGAGGGTCTTTCTCCACCTCTGACCCTCAGGAGAAGGTTCCTATCCCCCTACTCCCAAACAAATTCTTCATCACAGGGACTGTGCTGCACATTCAGCTTTTAAATCACTGAAACAACATAAGGCTTTTCCTTACACTGAAGTAAGGTTAAATAAGAATGACAGGCCCCTGTTGCAATTTCACTATCAATTTGACTTAAAGACACACTTTGGGATAGTAATCAAAAAATTATCTGGACACAAATCAATGCACATTTTCTGTAGTAATGCTAGACAAAGATTGATAAACTTAGGTCTCCTATGTTCTCTCAACATTACTGTTTTTGTTACGCGCTGTCAGAGCTGAAGCTGCATCGGGTTTTTAGAAGCACTAATTCACATGGGAGGAGACTGCCCATCTTTTTCCTGCCGAGCCGCTGGTGGGCTTGAATGGCAGCTCCTTACCACTACGCCACCACAGCTCCCTTCTCAACAGGAATGAAGGCATTTCCTTCCATGAATGATCTATCCAGAATGCGGAAAGATGGAGTAAATGGCAATTCCTTAATTGGTCCTCAACCAAAAAAGAGCAAATTTTTTAAAAAATATATTAGCTTTGAAAGAATAATGGTAGTCATCTGGAGAACTGAGTAATTGTCGGATCGTGTGTGTCTGATGAAAGTCAAAAGCATACATCTTGCAGTAAGGACTAAAAACTTACTATACATCAATAACTAATGAATGACCTTCCACTGAATCCACTCTCCCTTGATGAGTCTCTTCTCCAGACCACATTAACTCATGTTTAATCTTTAGTGGGAAACAAACAGAAAGTAACAGACACTATATAGCTTTTAGAGAGAAGATCATCTATTAGAAAAATACAGGATCTTTTTACGTGCACATGTTAACCTCAGAAGCTAAACTACAGAGCCCATGAGGTTACCTTAGACAGTGGGTAATCGACGTATTCTGCTCCACATCAACAGAAAGATCAAGAAAATCTTCATCTTTGCTACTCACCTGAAGGCAAAGAGAGTAAAAAATAAAGTATTAGGCAAGAAGACACAGTACATATAACTTTGAACAACCTACAACCAGGAGAAGATAAAATAGATGAATGGGACCTTCTAAGAATCAAATCCCTATGAGCATCCAAAAACTTCTCCAACAGGGTACAAAGGGAACCCACAGGCTGGGGAAAAGTAT